AGGCAGTCACTTTTTTTTGCAGTTTCAGCAGGGCTGGCAAGTGGCCAGGGCTGCATGACGCGCTTTGGGGACTGCTTTCACCTCTGCTGACTCTTGGCACTGCTGACTTAAGGGAATCCTGCAGAGAGCACATCAGGCACATGCTTGCGACAGCACCCAGGCATAGACTTTGCACCATCAAAAGGCAGAGGTGGGAGCAGAAGGATGACAGTGTGATGCGTTGTCGTTCTCCCTGTGGTCAGAGGGGCGAAGAGACATGAATGGCTGGCTTTGAGGAGACGCAGGAGCCTGAGCTCGTCTCACCCTGTGCTGGAGACAGGCTAGTAAATGGCTTCATTGGGAAAGGGTCAGTTCACTGGCTGAGGATCGGCTGTAAACACGGGGCCTCAAAAGACCACCTTGGTGGGCAGCTGGTGAGCAGGTCTTGGATGAGTCACTTTGGCTTCCGTTGACTGACTGACTTTTCCTCGGTGAGAGTGGGTAAATACGTGACGGCACGTGCTGCACCTCTCCCCACACCTCCTTTCCGCCTTTAGCTACTTTTTTTGGATAGAGAATAGTATGACCTCGAATGATCTGGGGGCTACAGCAAGATCTTCTGGGACAGGCTTCTCAAACTGGGTGATGTGAAGAAAAGGACTTACTGCTAAGAGCACAGAATGGGCCTAGCTGACCTGGACTAGGTCCTAGCTCCCAGACTAACTGATTACACCACCCTTCTCAACTTCAGTTTTCTCATCTGTAACATGACAACAACTTCTACATCACAGGGTTATTCTAAAATAAATAAGGAAAGGAAAATGCTCTTTCGCAGGTGATTGTAATGCACTACTCAGTCCCAAAGAGTGTTCTAGGGAACACTAGTACTGCAGGATTTTAACAAGGACAAGGTAGAAAGAGGCTGTCAAACAGGAAATTGCTGACTAATACCAAATTAAACAGCTGGTTCTTACTCAGCACTGTGCCTTTCAGAAGGGAAAAGTGTATGCAGGATTCCCCAAATGGAACCACTTTTCACAGAGAGAATGCACTTTTGGAAGCACGAGACAAAACGGAAAAGATAATAGCTGACATTTACTGAGAGTACTGTACGCCAGGCACTGTTCCAAGCCCCTTTACGCAAAGTGTCTTGTTTAATCCTTACAACACCCCCATGAGAGGCTACTGTTATCTCCATTTACCGATAAAGAAACTTGGCACAGAGAGGTTAGGTAATTTACCCAAGATTACACAGTCAGTAAATTCAGAACTGGGATCCAAACACCAGGGTCTGGCTCCTGAGCTCACTTATTTAACAGCCACACTCTAAAACAAGGTAATACTAGGACTTTATTTATGTATTATGTATCCATTAGCTAATTCAACAAGTATTTGTGAAGCCCATATTTATGTCCAGACACCATACTGGACACTGAGGATACAATTGTAAAGGCAGTCACACTTCCTGTCCTCAGTGAGCATTTGGTCTGGTAGGGAACATAGTCAAGTAAACAGATGATTGCAACAGAATAGAGTAAATACTGTAATTGGGAGGTGCCTAAGGTGCTAGGGGAACCCTTGGGAGCAATAACTGCCTCAAACTTGGGAAGAATCACTGCAGGAAGTGACTTCTAATCAGAAGGCCTAAAATGAATTGGGGTTAGTCAACCGAAGGCATGGGAGAGGGGAAAACGTTTCAGGCAGTGGAATAGTATTTGCAAAACCTCAGAGGCAAGAAAGCACATAAGGAAGGGGATAGTTGAGAGATGAGACCTCAGAGGTGAGCAGGAACCCTCCTCATAGACATTCCTTATTAGCTGGGCTGTGATGCTGGCACTCTGCTGACACTTGTCCCTGAACCAAATAACCCCAGCCATGTTCCTTAAGTTCATCTGCTTTTTATGGTAAGCACCCAGCATATAGCTCTGTCATTGTGTTTACGAAACAGTGTTATAATTTGTCTGTTCTGGATTCTTGCATTAGACTGTTAACTTCTTAAAGTCAGGAACTCTGTCTTACTCAGTATGTCTCCAGAAGCTATCACTATGCAGTGATGCTCAGTAAATGTTGTTTGTTGAATGATGTGTTTTCTTTATAAAATGGATTATATCCTTCCTGCTTTCTTGAGCCAACTATCACTTTTCCTCAGGTTCATCATTATATCCAGCAGTTAATGTCCTGTGTGGCAGTTCAGTGGTGCCCTTAGGGGCTTTTGAGGTGCTGTATTCTGACTTCCTCTTTCAGCTTTTGACTGTGCTCTTCTTTTCCCTTCCTGCCTAGCTGGCACTTGATTGTAATCAATTTGCTGGATTCTGAAGCCTCCTCCCCAGCCTTCTTGTTTGTTTCTCCTGATCTGCAGTGGGCTGGAAAGAAGATCACTTACCATGATTTGATAAGACTGTTTGTGACTAAGAGTAATCTCTGAGTTAGGTCCTAAAGAGCCCTCGTATGGGAAGAATGCAGATGCACATGGGACTCGTATGTTAGCTACTCAGAGGCCTTCTTCCTGTTCTCCCTGCTCCGGGAAAGGTCAGATAACACTCAGGGGTTGGGGAAGGTGGTCAGTCTGGAGATCCTCTTTGTGGTGCAGAAGAGCTGATCTACCTTTGACTAAACTACAGGAAAGTCTGTTCTTCAGCTACAAACTCCACCAACTTCATTCTGGCCAGACACTTGAAACGCTTCCACCTAAGCTAACTTATCCAGAGGCTAGCTACAAACCTCAGGCCAATCTCTATTAAAGGCAAGTTCCACCAAGAGTGTGTTGTACCTTCATTTGAGCAGAGAAAGAAGAGGGAGTAGGAACCAAGGCTGAGACCACAATATCTGGGCCCTGGGTTCTGATTCCCTCGTTTGCAAAATTAGAGTGACAACATGATATGATGTAAAGAAAGAGCGCTCAGATTAGATCTGGGTTCTTATTGTCACTCAACTACTCACTCACTATGTGACCTCTGTTCCTCATCTGTACAATGGGAATTATAATACCTACTATATAAGGTGGTTGGAAGAGTTAAATAGATTGTGTGGAGTGACCATGCCAGGCATAGAGTAGAAGGTCAGTAGGTGACATCAGCTAGTATTAGGAAGAGACGTGACAGTCTTCTGGTTTGGGGAACTTTTAAATAGGAGGTCCAGTTTCTCAGGTTGGGAAATGCATAGACTCCATTCCATGACCACTTGGAAAAGAATGATTTAGAACTGGTATAGTGTGGGGCGCCTGGGTGGCTCAGTCGGTTAAGTGTCTGCCTTAGGCTGGGGTCATGATCCCAGGGTCCTGGGATGGAGCCCCGCATCAGACTCCCTGCTTAGCAGGGAGCCTGCTTCTCCCTCTCCCTCTGCCTCTCCCCCTGCTTGTGCTCTCTCTCTCTCTCTCTCTCTGTCAAATGAATAAATAAAATCTTAAAAAAAAAAGAAAGAAAGAAATAGTATGGTACTTTTAACTACCTAGTCAAGGTTACCTCTTGACTAAATTATACCCTTTATCCAGTGGGAGGTAAGGGGAGTCTACCTTTGCAGACCCTGTGCCATGGGCTGGGGGGAAAGGGGGTACAGGTAGGTAGGACCCAAATTCTGCCCTCAAACAAACACAGCTCAGGACGGAACATAAGACAATAATTCCAATAATTTCTACATGAGGCAGAAAGAAACCCTATCTATGCAGGATAAATATTGTTCTATCGGGTCTCATCTCCAAGGCAGGGCCCCAGAGGTGGGGTAACCATCCAATTTATTGTCCAAACTGGGACTGTCCAGGACAGTAGGCATAAACCAGACCCATCCAGGGTGAACCGGGACATATGTGGTTACCCATCCCAGAGGGTCCTATAAAAGTGATGGAACTAGTTTTAGGCTCTTTTTTTTTTTTTTTTAAGATTTTATTTTATTTATTTGACAGAGAGACAGAGAGCACAAGTAGGCAGAACGGGAGGCAGAGGGAGAGGGAGAAGCAGGCTCTCCACTGAGCAGGGAGCCCCATGTGGGGCTCGATCCCAGGACCCCGAGATCACGACCTGAGCCAAAGGCAGACACTCAACTGACTGAGCCACCCAGGTGCCTGTATTAAATTGGAGAGAGTCATGAATATTAGCACTAGAGTGAACTGGGCGTTTTTGGTTCTTTTGACCACATGAAATGCTTGTTCTTCTTACCTTCAAAAAAAAAAAAAGAAATGTTCACAATATATTATTAAAGGTAAAAGAATTACAAAATTGCAATATAGTATGCTCTAATTTTGAAGGATATGCATGAGAGTTATATATATGTGCTTTGTAGGATTTGTATGTAGGAGATACATATACATAACATGCTTATATATACATATATATAGAGAGAGATACCAAAATATTAAATGTAGTTTCTTGAGTTGCTGAGCTGTTGATACCTTTTCTCCTCTGTACTATTCTGTGGTTTCAAATTTTTAATGGCTTTTAAAAATTAAGAAAGTTCTTTATAAAATACTTTTAAATACTCACTAGATTGTAAACATCTTCAAAATAAAGGGGTATGTTACTGTTCTGCTAGGAACAGCCTCTTTCTCTCACCTGCCTACCATCCCCTGGCCAACCCCCTAGCCTTTCTTCGTCTGGATAACTTCTCTTCACCCTTCAAGACTCTCATCTTGTGGGATACTCTCTTCATGCCCAACTGAACTAAGCTCCCCTCTGCCTTTCTATCATCCTGTTATAACTCTAATATAGCATTTATCTCAAATAGCACTTTACATGTCCGTTTTTGTCTGCTTCCTTCATCAGATTGAGTCAGAGACCATATCTGATTCATTTCTGCGTCTCCAAATGAATCCTAACACATAATAGATGTCAGTAAACATTTGTGAACTAACTGGCCTTGTTTTACCCCCTCTTGCCCCACACAGATGGCCCAGCACATAGTAGGTGCATTATATGTGTAGTAAGCATGTACATGAGTGAGGGAGGGAAATAAAACACCAAGAGAAAGGTGAGATTGGTGGCTCCTGGCATTTGTTGCTAATGGGAGGGTTTGTGTTGCTGTCCCCCCAGTCCTGGTCACCCGAGAGGATGACTTCAACAACCGGCTGAACAACCGTGCCAGCTTCAAGGGCTGCACAGCCCTGCACTATGCTGTCCTTGCTGATGACTACCGCACTGTCAAGGAGCTGCTTGATGGAGGTGAGCGCATGGGTGAATGGGGCTGGGGGTTGGCAGGGAAAGAGTACTTGGCGGCCTCTCCACTCCGGAAAATCCATGCTTCCCCAGAGCTCTGTTACCCTTCCAAAGCTGGAAATGCGTTGAGGGTGGCTCCGCCTCGTGAGAGTGGCTCTGCGATGTGTGATTTGCCTTCGTGCGGCTGGAATGCGTTCTTTGCCTATGTGTGTGTCACACACCACACCATCCTGCCTGTCTGCCTATGCTCTGAGTTTTCTTGATTGTGCCTCTCCCCAAAAGTGTCCTCTCTTCTCCCCTGTGGCCTCCAGAGCAGGGCTAGTAGAACAAGGAGGGAGGCCCTTCAAGTGTCTACCAATGCAGGTCTCAAAGACATTCTCCTTGATCCCATTCCCCCACCTCAGTCTAAATTAGGCCCCTTTCATTACCTGGATCATGGCATGCTCCTCTTTCCCATCATCGCTCTTGTCACAATCTGGAATTATTTTCGTGGGTTCAGTAGCCTTCTCCCTAACTTGACTCACTCCCTAAAGGCCACAGATTTGTCCCCAGCACCTAGTATGGTACCTGGCATACAGTAAGCACTCAATAAATCTTTGTTCACTGATTGAATACCCTCCCTTTGGAGAGTATTTGTTTAATTGGAGGGGCAGTATGTGCCATCTTTCAATTCAGGCTCGGCTCATCTTATGTAGGTCTGGTACAGAGTTACCTGCCACCCTGCCAGATACTTCTCAAGCTGTCACTTTACCTCCCACTTCCCCTTACCCCATTCTGGCCTCGCCTTGGGGTAGGGAGAGAAGCATCTTACCTAGGTGTGTCATGCCCAGGCCTCTGAATAAGTATGGTACATGACTGCCTGTTTATGCCCTTGCTGCCACTTCTTGAGGGCCTAGGGACCCCTCTCTTGGGCCTGGATACCAAGGTCCTCCTTGTCGGTGGTCATTCTCCATAGAGCCTGGGAGCTGGAAGGGGCCTCAGAAGTTCTCTGAGTCACCCTGATTGCCTGCTCCCCCTCCTCCTGTCGGGAACCTTCAACAGCCGGTAGGCTGGCCTTTCCTTGGACCCTGGCAGGGACTGAGGGAACTCTACTTCTTCCCCAGAAGTCCATTCCATTTTAGTTCTTCTCTAACTGGTTAAAACATCTTTTTCTAAATACACTGTAATTTTGTTCTCTAATTTCTGCCAACTGTCCTCTGCAGCCAAATCACTTTTTCAAAATCCAGTATTCGAAGGAAGTTCTTTCAGTTCCAGAGCCCTTGCTTCCACAGCCTAACATTCCCAGATCATGTTCTAGTCCTTGCCATGTGATTGGGCTGGAGGGGTTTCCCAGTAATCCCCAAATCCTGCCACTTTCTGTCAGCCACAGCCATGCTGGCTTAAAACCTATGCCTGGCCCATACCCCCAGCCTAGGCGACCTTCCCCAGAGCAGCAGAGTATGCCTGGGTCTGGGGCATGAACACTGTGAGGTGTAGGACTGCTATGACAGTGCCGGGAATGATTGATGCTTTCAGAGCAAGAACTCACTGCTCTCAGAAGCAGAGACTTAGAAAACGTCTCCAAGCAAGATGCTACTTAGATCTCAGGCAAGACATTTGCAGCTAAGAATTGGAGCATTCACCATGGGGCTTCTTTCTGCCAAGCCTTAAAATCAGTCAGTACTCCCAGCCATTGTCCAGTGGTTTACATTCCCTGCTTCCCCTCAGCCCTCAGACAGACAGGGAGTTCAGTCTAAAGAGAGACCCTCACCCAGCCTTCCAGATTGAACACCTTTGAAATGAAGATGCACAGGCCTTTTATGAAGCATCCCCACCCTCAATCCCCCAGGCCAAGGCTGGTCCTTTGAGCCGTTCCAGGGGCATGGTTCCTGCCTGTTGACTTGGAACAGATGCCCTTAGCCCCCAACTTTACAGTTTGCCCACCTGCTTTTTTACCCAGCATCCATTTACACCCCCTGCCCTAGCCTCACAGCCTCAAGGGCCAAAACCATTAACCCACTTATTTCTCCTTTCCCGACCTGAACAAGTGGCCGTCACTCAGGGCCTGCAGGCCTGCCAACTTCTAGCCCCCCTCCGTCCCCCTTGACCTCTCTTGGTCTGCCTGTGTGTGTGACCAGCCAACCGAGAGGCAAGATCCTGCTCCCTTGTCCTAGGGGCTATTGCCAGTCACATTTCCAAAGTCTTCTGACCTCAGCTGACCTCCTCCCGAGGATTTCAGGGAAGGCAGGCCTTCCTGCCCATCTAGCTTTCTCAGCCTGTATTTGCCCCTGGCTTTGCTGCAGCAACTTAGAGGGAGGCTGTCTGGGAGATCCAAGGCAGGCCTAGGCACAGGGGCAGCCTGTGTTCACGAGGGGCACACAGACCCTTGTCTTTGAAATTGCTGAGTCCACAGGGCTCTGGGGCCCCCAGATTGTAGAGGGTTAGAGCTAGAGAAGCCAGCTGCTCTTGCCCTCTGGCCAGGGGTCCCCATATGAGAGCTGGGAGGAGGTCCAGGCAGCAGCATCAGTCTATTAATGCAGGCAGTTCTCTGACCCCTTAAAATGCAGCGTGGAGTAATAGAAAGGACATTGCAGACTTAGAGTCAGGCCCACCTGGGTTTATATCCCACCTCCCCGACCTACTAGCTGTATTGCCTTGGATATGTTGCCTTAACTCTCTAGGCTTCAGTTTTCTTGTCTGTCAGATAATACCTGGGAAGTATCACAGGGGTAACGTGGGGACGAGTGATAATGTCTTTAAAAGCCCCGATACGTGGTAGGTACACCATGATTAGTCTAAAGAAGTCAAACTCTCCCCGACAGCTATAATCCTCCTATTTCCTCCTCATGTAAAACCTGTGCTGCTGCCTAAAGACTTCTTAATTCTCTTTCTGCCACAACTTCTCCACCCTGCCTAAAACACCATCATGTTCCCTCTCTTCTCATCTAGATCTTCGGGCCCTTCAAGGCCTCCCTCTCTCAGGATGCTTCTCTTGGTGCTCTTGTACACTCTGATAGCACCACCTCTGAACTCTTGCAGTGTTGGGCTGGGTGCTTAGCACAGGTCATTTCTTCATCTTTAGGAGGTCCTGTAACATAATGAAAAGAGCACGAGCTTGGGAGTCTGACAGACCTGAGTTTAAATCTCAGCTCTGCATTGTCACTGTGGGCTAGGTAGTTGTCATTTCTGAGACCATGGACTTCACGGCATCCTAGATGGATCAGGCAAATTGACCCTGACCCTGACCCTGAGAGACTGTCAGACTGGCAGAGGAGATAGATATGGAAACAGGCAGTGACAGCTGGGTGGGTGTCTGGCAGGGGACTGGACAGGAGCTCTGGGGACATAAAGGAGGAAATACCCCTGCCTAGTGAGTAGGGAGATGGAGTCAGTTATAGAACGACTAGGGGTAGGGGGCGGGGTGTATGTGTGCTTCAGCCTTATCAGGAAGGTTAATGGGAGTTTGCCAGACAGACTTCTGTGGGTGGGTTCTGAGTTCTGAATTCATGAGTACCAATTTTCTGCTCCTGAGCTCCACACAGAAGTGGAGGTCTTTGTGGTTTTCATTCTGTGAACGTGCTGCTTCTGCCTGTGTTGTTGGCTTATGAGCTGGAAAGTTCTGCCTCAGCACTTGACTGCCAAGTATAAGAAAAGGTTGGAGGGAGGTAGGGAGGGAGAGACAGGATGACTGGGAAGAGGATTCATTGGGGAGGGTGGGGAGCTGCCTCCCCCAAGCCCCTGGAGCTGACTCTCCCAGTATTTCTAGGGCTCTGCAGGGGCTTTCACAGCTGTTTCCTCCCAGGGATGTGATCCCACTGCCAGATCCATCTTCCTGAGACATAGTTCCAATCATGGTAGCCTTCCTCAACCAGGAGTCCTCCAGAGAATTGAGCCCTGGTGCTCTAAGGCATCCACTGTACACAAGGAATAACTCCTCTCCCAGGCATCTAAAATGGTACATGTTATGCACCATTCTTGGGAGAATTGAGAAAATCGTTGCTCAGATAATTTCCTGTAAGTGATTTCAGAGGAGCAACCCAGTTGAGGAATGCTGCAAGGAGAGAGCATGAACTGTGGAGTCAGGATCTGAATGCAAGCCCTGCCACCAAAGAGCCTGTGATCTTGGGCGAGCTACGGGCTGCTCTGAGGTTCTCTTTCCTCATCTGGAAATGGGAGTATGCCACCTGCTCTCGATGGTTTTGTCAGGAGTAGGGCATGTGTAGGTTCTACAGAGTAGGCACTTTATAGATAATACCTACTATTGTTAACTTCAGAAACACTCGGTGCTTACTTGTTAAAAAATAAATACAAAATAGGGGTGCCTGGCTGGCTCAGTCTGTAGAGCATGCAACACTTGGGGTTGGAGCCTCATGTTGGGTGTAGAGATTATTTAAAGAAAATAAAATCTTTAAAATAAACACATACATACACACACACATATATATACAAAATATATAAAAAATCCTACCCATCCTAACTTTTTGCGTGTCATCCTTGCGCAGGGGCCATGCTAATCTTCTCTGTATCGTTCCAATTTTAGTATATGTGCTGCCGAAGCGAGCACCCCATCCTAACTTTTTAACCTGATTTTGATGTTGTTGTAGTCTGACCCTTACCTAACTTTTTTCCCACTGCTACCCTAATATCCAGCTGTACAGTAGTGTTGCCTCAGAGCTCCCACCTTGGTGCCTTTACTCATGCAGGTTTTTCTGCCAGTCAGTCCCCATCTTTAATGCCACTTCCCTTCTGAACTCTTCCCTGCTCCCTGGGATTTGGGTCCAGTCACCCCTTCTAGATTGAGGTAGACTGAGGGCTAGGACAGTGTCTGATTTGCCCCTGCCTCCTTTGCCACGGTGCTCTGCACATAGTTTAGTACATGTTTGGATGCGCTGATAAATCTCTAAGACCACTCTAGATCTTCCATTTGGAGATGTGGCGCCCTTATTTCCTGGCGCACGCGTTCTTAGTGTCAGATTGCATCTGGTGTCTTAGAGCTTCACACACGAGCCACCGCTTCGCGGCTGTCT